GGGGAGGAGGTTGTGCAGAGCCAGCAAGGGTGCCCCCCCCCCCACTCTCGGCAACATTGCTACCTCCTCCCAAGCCCCAGGTTCCTCCTGGGAGCCATGAGATTAGATAAATCCACTCTCACCCATGGGTTGAAGAGAACAATCCCAAATCATGAGGACTGGCAAGAACAAGATGGAAACTTGAATTACCTTCCACTATCTAGACAGTCTGTCTGTTGTAGAAACAGAAGAACAAAGTAAATATGCTTTTGTTGTGTTGCCGCAGAGAAATTTAGAACAAGAAGACAGGAGAGAAAGAGGGAGAAAGAGGAAGACGAGAAAAAGAAAATGCAATATACATACGTACATGCATATATGTGTACATACAAATATAATAATACATGCGTGTATATTTATGTATATACACACATACATGTACACATATAAATTGATCTGATCATAAAGAGGCACAATATTGTTTGTGGGAAGTAAATTAAACTGGAGAGCATCATGTTAAGTGAAACCAAGCCAGCTCATAGAGGTATCTTCCACATGTTCTCTTTCATACAGTATTTTTTCTAAAGTTTTATTTTTATTTTTTGCACGTGTCTGTGTGAGAGTGTATGCCCCCATGTGCATAAGTACCTACAGAGGACAGAAGAGGATATCAGACACTTTGGAACCGGAGTTCCAGGCAGTTGGGAGCTGCTTGACACAGGTATAGGCGATCCTACTCAATCCTCTGCAAGAGGAGTATGTGTTCTTCATGCTGTGGTTTCTCTCCAGCCCAAGATGGACTCTTTTTAGGGTGTGCGACATGGAAGTAGCTAAAGGACTGTCAAGGATAAGGAATCAGGGTGGGGGTGGGGAATGGGATAGTATAATAGAAGAGGCGAACACTGCACGTCTTATGCATGTATGGGAATATCACAATGAAACACCGCACACTTACTATAGGTTAATATAAAAAGTCATACAGGCAGTCTGGAGGTTTCCTGGCCTGCTTAGGTCTCCAGACCAGGATAAGCTATTCCTCCAAGTCTCTGTATTTCCACTGCCACCCCAAGGAGCTGCTCATTCACTCTTAGTCACTTCTACTAGAGTTTTTGTGGGGGAAACAGTCCTACTTCAAATTTAGAGTATGCAAATCTCAAGGTATACAGCTTGGGGGGTCAGCTCTCAGTTCTGTATCTACAGACATCATCTTTGGCAAAGGGAAGAGATGATATGCACTCTGTAATTTGTACTACTTCACTTTTCAATGTGGTTATCAATACAACATCTTATTAGCACACATTTAAGTTAAAACTGTAGAATTTATGACCATTTTAAAAGCACATAAAAGAAACAGAAAGTAGGGTTGCTGTGATGGCTCAGTCAGAAAAAAGAACTTGCCTTGTAAGTGTACTTGGATTCCTAGCACCCCTTTAATGCTAAGGAGGCAAAATAGCCTGCCTGTAATTCTAGCTCTCCAGAGGGCATCACAGGATCCCTGAGGGAAGCTGGTTAGCTGGAAGATGAATTGATGAGCTCTGGGATTAAGTGTCAGTAAATTAGAGGGACAGTTATTGATGGAGGTACCAGAATCCAACCTCTGGCATTCATAGGCAGACAGACTGATAGACAGACAGACAGACAGACAGACAGACAGACACACACACACACACACACACACACACACACACACACACATTATTGGTAGGTGTGCCCTGCAAGCCTAGATCTTGTTGCATTTTTGAATTTGGAAAATGTGCAAATGTTTGCTCCTTTAGGAAACCAAAATACTCATGGTCTTGTGTATGTGTGTGTGTGTGTGTGTGTATTCATGTGTATTCACGTGGAAGGCAGAGGTTGATGTTAAGTGTCTTCCTCTATCACTTCTTCACCTAATACTTTTTTAGGCAGGGTCTCTCTTTAAATGCAGAACACACCATTTTGGCTCCACTGGCCGCCCAGAGACACCCTGGAATCCTTCTGCCCCTGCCCTTCCCATGTGCTGGGGTTACAGCTGCCGTGCCCATGTGCCCTGTCTTTACATGTGTGCTGGGGATAAGAACTCAGGTTCTCATGCCTGTGCAGACAAAGCTTTACCATTGAGTCCTTTCCTCAATCTGCTTCATTTAAAGCAAAAAAAAATTAATTTTCATCGTTTTCAGCATCATCCCAGGGGCTTCCTGCATTCACAAAGCTGCACAGCATCACGACCAAGCACCATGCAGTCATTTTTCAAGAGCTTCGGGCATGCAACCATGAGTGAGGGGCCACTTGGGTGTGTGTGTGTGTGTGTGTGTTTGTGACAGCTGCTAGAGTCACATTGACACTGTGGTCCACCATTAAGACTCTAGCCCACACAATTTCCAATTTGGATTAATATCTTAAATTTAAACATCACTTTCTCTTAAAAATTCCCCTTGGAATACTGGACTGTCCTTTCTTAGTTGTGTTTCCAGAAGACTCACAGCCCAAGGGACACGGGGAGTTGAAATCTCCCAACACAGCCTGATCTCTGTAATGTTTTCAAGGCTTTAATTAGCTCCTTACCCTAGTTTCTGTGGCTAGTGTCTTGTTGGCACCTTGAGATCATTCCAGCGACCTGAAATCTCATCAGGTTTGTTCTAAGGAAAATGAGAGCAATATTCCCATCAGCTTCTCATTGTTTCCTCGTTTTGTTTTGGTTAGAACAGAAATATCGAGAGAATCAGCTATTGTTCCCCTTATGTGAAAAAGCCATCATTCCGCAAAAGATTACTTTTCCTTGTGAAAATCTTCATAATTATCATTTGTGTTGACAGATAATGAGGTGGGAGCACAGAGAACTTAGCTGGGACTCTAGCAGGCAATGGCTTCCAGTGCCCACCACTAATCACCGGAAGGCAGTGCTCAGCAGGCAGTGGTCTCCAGAGTCCACCCCTAAGCACTGGGGACCAGTGCCCAGCAGGCAGTGGTCTCCAGAGTCCACCCTTACACACACACACACTGGAAGCAGCCCCTTCAGGCTAATCAGTGGTTCTTCTCCTCCTGTGATGATTCCTTTCAGAACTCCTAGTCCAACAGGAAAATTAGTGTGACAGAGAAGAACGGCACAAATGAACTGGGAAAAGAAGGCTGAGTTTGGTTTCTAGTTCTTTTTCAGTCTCCCTCTGTGAAGTGGATATATGGGATAGCTCTGGGTACCAAGAAATGATACACATGGAGAAATTAGCATAAAGAAGTCAAAACACATTAGTACTTGTTGTATATGAAGTGTTTCCCCAATGTTCTTGTATTGAACATTTGATCCTCGATGCCGGGGTGAGGCTTCTGGGAATTGAAGGGATCATGAGTTTCTCGCTTTGTCAGTGGTATATTCGTGATCTGACGGCGCTGTTTGGAAAGTGGTGGCAATGCTGGGCAGAAGTGGATCCCTGAGTGAACCACATGCTTTTGAAGGATGCATTCTGTCCTCTACCCCTTCCTCTCTGTCCGTCTGCTTCTGGCTGCCACAAGGTAAGGATTTTTTCTCCACTGTGTCCTGCTGTCATATCGAGCCTCATCTCAGGCCAACAGCAATGGATTCAGTCAATCCTAGACTGAGACCTCCAAATTTACCATGGACCATAGCTTTAAATGGTTTCTCCCAGATATTTTGTCATGGCAAAAACAAACAACCAAACAAACCAAAACCCAAAATTCTGGCTAACACAATTTCCTGTTGCTGTGTGAAGGTAGATGGGACTGAGTGCCAGGAGTCTTAGACAGCCAGTGAGCAAACTTTCTTATACTGTAATTCTCTCTATATACAATAGAAACAACCATACATACATTTCAGGGTAAATGATGGGGTACATAGGACATTATCTGACAGATTACAGAGCCTGAAGAAACAGAAGTCTTCATCAATATTAGCTACAGGAAACCCAAAGTTCTGTATATAAGCACTATTTTATAAAGGAGATTTTCCCTGTCATTAAGCAAAGGATAAAATAAGAGCCCAAGTTCCATATCTAAGCCAGGGATAACCCTCTTGACCAAATCCCTTCAAGTGGTTTATCCATTCCTAAAGCCCCCTGAATATATAGCATTTCCCAAAGTCCTGTTATCACCACCACTAAAGCCACCATCATTCTAGCAGGGGAAACAGCAAACACTAGAACCAGTCAACCAAATTCCAGGCTGCTTACGTGAGCCTGGCCAGGATGGAGCCAGGGGTGGGAAGTACAGCATGCAGAAGCCATGCTGTGGACGTCAACGGAACTGCGGATGAGCATCACAGACGCGTGCTTGCTGAAGGTGGCCATGCTGCCGGCCTCTATTTATACCGTGTCTGTGTGGGGACATGATCTGGAAGGCGCCCTGCTGAGCATGAGAGAGTTTGCAAGACAGTCCTGAAATCTGCAGGAAAGCATGCTCGATACTCTCACACAGGACCACAAAGCAAAAGGTCGCATTCCAATTCAAAGTCACTGAAAGCGAACAAGCCGAGGAACACTAAGGGTGAAATAACAGATTGTAGGCCAGTTAGAAGCTCGAGTTGTAGTACTGTGGGTGAGTCAGGGAAAATCCCCAAATAGCAGCCTGGATTAAGATTTCTTTCTATTATTTTTCCCCAGGTGATGTGATGTTATGTTAAAACAATGACTTCCACATCCTGCTGTACCAAGCGTTAAAAATAGCACTTGGAGTTTTTGTTAGCAGCTTTCTTGGGCATCGGCTTCAGTACTAACCACCTTTGTACACAGAACCGCTTTGGTTAGGAAAAGGGAAGTTGAAAGGCACAAAGAGTGGTAAAAATCATACAGGAAGAAAACCAATCACACAGGAAGAAAACCATGGCAGCTTAACGTTGACCACCAGGAACATTCGAAGACTTCTCTGGTGTTATTCCTCTTCTGCCCAGCGCTTTCACAAAACTGTACACAGTTCCCATACTGACTCTGTTGTAGACGTGGAGAAGAGGCTGGAGAGCGAGAGCTCCCCTTGGGGCCTAGGCCTGCAGTTTGCTGGGTGGCCTTGAGCATGCTAAGTAAAAGCTGTTTGATTAGGTCGTAGGACTGACGCTAGGCATCGCAGATACAACCACAACCTCCAACTCCTGAAACCACTTTCATCGCGAAGGTATTGCTAGCGTGGTCCGTTTTCTGGATGTTTCATTTCCGTCTGAGAAAAAAACTCTAAACTTCACTGTGCAGTCTGTCGAGCAACCCACCAACATCTTCCCATGTCCGGGACTAATTTGCTGCTGCTAGTGTAGCATGTGTAGTGGGAAGAGGTTCTTCAAGTGTGGTTTCTGCACCAGCAGCATCAGTACCACTGGAGAATGTGTAGACTAGCATATTCACACAGACCTGCGGGTCCTAGAGCCGCTAGGACTGCTTTCCAGGGGCTTCGGGTTTGACACGGATGGTTTATTTTTAAAATTTGGAAATTTTATTCTATCACTCCAATGAATCAAAATTCTGTGTAAAGCCCGACGAAGAAACTCTGCCACTGATTTTCTTCTTATACTCTCCGATACAGCTCGGACATCTGGAGTCACCTATCATAGTAGATCTTTAACAGGGCGATCCCGCAAACTGCCTTTCCCACACCTTTAAAATGTTCTGTTCCAGTACAGAGTTTAAAAGCCTTAACAAAGGAGGAGATTAAAGTGCCCTCATGTGGTATGCAGACACGTGGATCTATAGATTATTTATAGTCCTTGCTCAGTGAGTAATGAGATCAGCTGCAGGACTGAGAGATACATCTGGTCAAACAGAGATTAGTGAAATCACAGGTAGACTCGTCCCTTCTCCAGCAGAGCATGAGAACTTGAATGTGTGTGTCCGTAAGGTCAGCTGACTTTGGCGGGTCTTGTTGGTTGAAGAATGACCCAGTGTTTCCCAGAGCTGGGTGATACTCAGCAGAGCAGGGAGCCAGTTTAGCATTTGGCAGAATGGGGCTACTATTAACCAGGGTGGGTGGGAAAGCTTACACCACGGAGATGGGCAGACCCTGTAACTGAGGACTTACATACCTATGTAGATTTATGAGAACACGAGGTTCCTAAATGCCTATTGGCTGAGCTCATCTACTCAAGATTGAAGACTCATAATTGTGAGACTAGAAAGGTGTACTAGGGCTTAAGATCACACACTGCTCTGGCAGAGGCAGAGGACTGGAATTTGATTCCCAACATCCGTACCAGGCTGTCCACCACTGTCCATAACTCCAGCTCTACAGAGGGTCAGGGATCCAATACCCTGTTCTGGCCTCTATGAGCACCTTCTGTCACACAGCCATATAGACACACACATACATATCACATGTACATATCCACAAATGAAAATAAATCTTAAAAATGGAAAGGATCACACTGTGTGTGTCAGGTTGATATCCACACAGGGATAGAAGAGGACCTGCTGGGGGACTTCTTCGCGCAACCTGACTGCTGTTGGCTTTGCTCTGGCAATAAATCTTCTACCAGCTTCTGAACACTTCAGTACAGACCATCTAGGTATCTGCCAGTAACTCTTGTGTCCTGCTGGCCACCACCTGTTGCTACTGCCAAGAGGGAGGCCTAAAGAGTATCATAACTGGGAGGCTTGGCCACCTGTCGAACCCCTGGTCCATGCTTTGTCTCCTTCTTCTTGCAGTTAGCTCTCGTGCCAACTACAGGACCGTAGCTTTCAGTGAAAGGACTGTTTTCATTTGATTTAGAACATCACTGGCTCTGCTGCATCAGGTCTCCAGATGTGCTCCAGTCTCAGCTCAGGATTAGACTTAGGTCAAGTTCAAATGAGGACGCCTTCTTCTAATTAGTCCATAGGTGATTTATTGAGTTGCTATTTTTGTGATTTTTGCTTACGATATCCTCAAGACCTTTTTAAAAATAAAACAGAGATGCTGCAGACTCAGCTCAGAAATCCTGGCTTATTGGTTATAGTTGACCTGGGAATTTTAAATAAGTTCTGAAGAGTGATGGGCCATTAGATATCACTTCTGTGACTAAAAAACGCCACAAAATAGTTCATAATATCCTTTGGTTTTATTGCATTTTTTTTTTTTTTTTTTTTTTTTTTTTTTTTTTTTTTTAGTGCTGGGGATGGAACTCAGAGCCTCATGCACTGTAGACAAATGTTCACACAACATCCTTTTACAAATGTTGTATAGAAAAAGTCTTCCGGTGCCCAAATCAGAGAGAAGCAGAAACCTGTCTGTTGAGTACACAAGTTAATTCTGTGTCTGCTGGCGACCGGGTCTGAGAGTGTCAGGATGTCAATCAATGGGAAACTACTGCCTTCATTAGTTAGCATCAGATGCATGAACAGAAGTGTTAGTCTACAAGCACACTGCTGAGAGGAATCCGTGCTGCTGCATAATGTCATTCTATGATTTCTTGATTACAACATGATATTCTTGCTCACTCTTCTGTGATAGGACATTGGGAAGTTCTAACGTTTCTATTCCTTTAAAAAAGATTTAATTTGTGTGTGTGTGCATGCGTGTGTGTGTGTGTGTGTGTGTGTGTGCCCTTGGAGGCTAGAAAAGGACACTGAATTCCCTGGAGCTGGAGTTACAGCCAGTTGTGAGCAGCCTGATGTGGGTGCTGGGAGCTGAACTCTGGTCTACTGGAAGAGGAGGGACAAATGGTCTTAGCCACCGCGCCATCTTTCAGGTCCTGTAATTTTTATCCTTAAGCTCTTACGCATACGTGTTTCTATGTCTCTCAGCATACATCAGCCGTACTTCTTAAGGACAGCATATTTTAAGCAGAACTCCTAAGTCCATTTCACTTGCTGTCTTTCCGGGGGTACACATCGGCAACTGGATTGTGCACAGCATTCCACGTCGCTGGTTAAGAGCAGATGCTACGTACACGCGCCAGCTATGAAACTCACACTTTTTTTGAGGAGAAGTTAAACACTCTTGATTTTATAGTTTTGTGCAATATAAGAAAAATCAACAAAATTCACTAAAATTTGACTTTTTAAATTTATTTGGGGGTATGTTTTTCTATTGTTCATCACCTTATTATTTTTTATTTTCAAATTATTATTATATTTTGAGATAGGATCTTATCGTGTAGCCCTGACTAGGCTTCAGCTCCCTAGGTAGATCAGGCTATCTAATTTACAGAGTTCCATCTCCCTGCCTCTGTCTCCGAGTGTGAGGGATAAATGTATGTGCCACCACATCTGTCTGCCTATGATGAAAGATCTGCTGTAGATTGCTTGGGTTTGAACTAATCCTGGGAGATTTCCAATGTTTGATGTCTGGCGCTCCATTCCTTAGCTGGGCAGCCTGTTATTTGGGAAGGCTTTGGTCAGTAACAACAAGTTAGTGAGTCAACTCGAATGAGCCTCCCTTTTCCTACCAAGTGCCTAACCTAATATAGAACAGAACACTCACTTCCTCCATCTGGAAGCTGCTTTTTCTCTTGCTGGATGCTGTTTTCAAAACACTGTGAGCGTACGCCTCTGGAACTGGTTGCAGCTCCAAGTGCAACAGCGGGTTTCAAGTGAGATTATTGCCAAGTAAGCTGGGAGCCTAGAGAGAAGAAGTCAAGACGGATCTCTGGGAGAAACCAATGCCTAGAGGTCCTATGTCCATAGCACTTGTCACAGATTCTCTCTCTGTCTAAAAGATTGTCTAGGGGCAATTTCTAATAAATTCACATATCTTAATGTTTCTCTCTGAGGCAGGAAGTGATATGTTTGTTTCCTGGCTATACAGCTGGGCTTTTAACTTCAAAGTCCAGGATAGAGTCTCAAATAGTCCATTTTCAAAACCATTTTGTTCACATATGTTTGTGTTTGACTTTAACGGGAAATTTTCTGTGTGTTCCTTGTACAACAAACAAAGAAACAACAATGACAACAAAAGCCACCACCCCCCCCCAAACAAAAAAACTCTGTGCTTGTGGTGATTTTGAGTGAGATGTACCCCATAGTCTTGGGCATTTGAATACCTGGTCCCCAGCTGGTGGCACTGTTTGGGGAGCTTAGGAGATGTGGTCTTATTGGAAGAAGTGTGTCAATGGGTGCAGGTTGTGAGGTTTTAAAAGCCATATATCTCCTAGTTTACTCTTTTTGTTTTCTGCTTTTGGTTAAAAATGTGAGCTCTCAGTTTAATGCCCCGTCATGTCTGCTTCCCTGCTGTGACGGTGGTGGGCCCTTAGCCTTAGCACTGAACTGTCTGCCCAGACAAGTCCTTCCTTCTATAGTCGTTATGGTCATGGTGTTCGTTGGAGCAATAGAAAAGTGTGCAAGACAGTGCGAGTGCTATAACTATACCTTCATTTGTAATTAGGAGATCATGGTGTGCAAATCGTCTTAGCAGCCCCAAATCCAATGCTGTGTTTTAACTTCACCTCATGTACAAATCTGAGGGTATTGGAGGTATCTTTCCAACTCTGAAGTTCTATCCTACGATATCCCTTTTACTGTTCAGGTTAAAAACAAACTATCAGCCAAACCTACAACATTTTAAAAATATCATTTGGGTTGCACTGGGGAAGTTACCTAACAGTAGAGCGTTTGGCTAACACACACAAGGGCCCTGAGCTCAAATCTCAGCACTGGAAAAGAAAAATGAAATCAAAATAAAATTTAAATGTTGAAAGCTGGGGAAGGCAGCCTTCAGGGTGACAATGTATAATAATACACGGGCATGAAAATGTCATAATGAAACCCAGTTTTTGGTATGCTAACCATAAATTATTTTTAAATGTTCTAAGATAATTTTGAGGTGCTTGAGGGACTTGGTCATTGATTCTTATAAAATAAAAACTTGCTACAATATTATTATGAATTAAGAGATGTAGCATATATATTGGTATCACGTAAGTCAATGTCTGGAGCTAGAGAAACGGATCAGTGGTTACAAAATATTGCTGCTCCAGGGACCTAAGTTCAGTTCACGGCATGCATGTCGGGTGGCTCACAACCACCTGTGATCAAACTCCAGGACCCCAACACCCTCTTCCAGCCTCTGTAGGTACCCATACACAAACCACACACCCTCACAAACCCTACAAAAAAGAAAGTCAAAATCTATTTGTCAACCTGAATTAATTTTAGAAATATCTCATATTTTCTACACAAACCTTTAAAAACTGTTGATGCAATAAACAAAAG